CCCCGGGGAGTACACATTTTTAGGGACTCCCCAGGGACTTGGAGGGGGACTCCCTGGGGAGTCCCCGGGGATTATGCATTTTTCGGGGAGTCCCCGGGGACTTTCAGGGGGAGAGTCGACTAGGGTACAGCTGTCTTCTCTTCATTTTATTCAACCAAGTTTCATCGTGGTAATACAATATAACATTATTCGCTCTTAATTGTTCCAATGTTCTGAAACAGGCAGCACGTGAAACCTGAAATACAGCGGCACCTATTAATACATTTGCTTTCTTTGTTTGTCGATATTTAAATCAAGTGAGCTCATTTGTCGATGCACCGAACTTTTTGATTGGATAGGAATTTATGGCTCTTGAGCTAATAGTTATGATAAAAAAATCTCGAGAGTAGGATACACTTTGTCTTTTAATAATAAATGAAACCTTAATCTGGTTATATCTTCTTTATATTCAGATAACAGAACTTTAGGACCGCCAGCATGCTGTTTAAAAGGTGATGATGGTGGCGGCACAACCGTTATAGTAGAAGATGTACGACGAAGTATGGATGTTTCTTCAGCCTCTGTCTTCAATTCTTTCATCTCATAACCGATCTGTCGCACTATAAAGAGGCATAGATAGATTATTCTTCAACAAAATCAATAGCAGAAAATGCCAATTCTTTAAATTCTTCAGAAAATGCTTGACCTTTACGCATTGTAGTTGTGCTAATAAAACGTACTAATACTCTTCTCTACAGTACTATGAAACTATTTTATGAGTTAGTGTATGTAACCTATTCTTAGAATGAAAGAACACATCGGTTTTGACATTGATTGATTATTTGGCCACTTATCTGGCCACTTTCGAAAATAAAATCATTTCAGTTCAACTTCAGATTTAGTCTCAATAGTTGTTATATATAATGAACAGGAAATGAAACAAATATCGTTTTGTCATAGTCGTTTGTTCTTCTTTCGGATTTTTTTAGAAAATGATGACGAATAGAATATTCTTTGTTTCTCTTTGTTGTGGGCTATAGTTTTTGTGTAATATGATATGAATTTACGTTTGTTGTTGTCGTTTGTTAGCGATCATCGATATTTATCTTCTTACGTAAATCCTTATCATTTCGTTTTTTTTCTTTCGTTCTGTTACGCTTGTCGTTGTATCATCTTTCTTTCTTTTCTGGCACGAATATGCAAAAGAATAAACTGGAGATTATTTGTCCTCTAACGTCAACAGAGAAGCAATGTGCGACGGTACTCGTTGACATTTGCTTTATTAACAGTTTTTGTTCGATTCTATCAGTAAAAAAATTATGACCGCGGCCTTGTTTCTACAACCATCTGGCAATGATCTAGCAAACTGGAGTAATAATCGTCGTTTTCTCGACATTGATCATCAGCCCAAAAATCTGCTGCAGCCTATCGAAGGCTATGCAGATTTGCCATTCGTATCGCTCGAAAAGGCTCTTCAACCCGTTAAAAATCTTGTCTCGAATATTGATAGACGCGTGTACATTGCCAAAGAGAATTGTAAGAAGCCTGGGAACCTTCTCACTCAAGATGAAGCAGCTTCGTTGCATCTTTACACTATGGAATGGTCTCCTATAGATCGGTGTCTATTTTACGTTCTCAATCAAACTTTGCGCAGCGCAGATCGAGAAAAACTCAAACCTTGGTTTTACTTTCTCAAACTAATTCTGACCGCTCTCGACAAACTGCCAATGGAGAATCTTAAAGTATGGCGTGGTGTGAAGATGGATTTGAGTGACGAATATGAGATCGGTAACACGTACGTCTGGTGGCCATTCTCATCGTGTACTGATAATTGTACTGTCCTCAACTCGAACAGATTTTTTAGGCATGACGGGAAAGCGAACATTATTTAGTATTCAATGTCATACGGGAAAAGTGATTCAAGGTCATTCTCATTATCCAAAGGAAAAAGAAATACTTCTTCGGCCGGCCACTTCGTTGCAAGTCATCGGCAAATTAAACATTTCCGTAGATGTATGGATGATCGATTTAATAGAAGTCACACCGCCTTTTCCTTTTCTTCAAGCGGCGTCAATACTGATTGAGACAAAACCATTGGATGCTGCGCTTCTGAAATCAATTGATGTCAAGTTACCGACAACTTCTCTTAATCCGATCTACGAGAAGACATTTATTGCACCTCTGTCAGGCACCGGATTAGCGCTATCGACTTCATCCAAGAATACAACATCAGTTGCACCTTCAGACGACGTTAACATGAAGTTAACGGTTACTCACAGTTCGATAAGCACTAAGATACCTGTTGTATCTCCAAAAGAGGCCGAGATGAAGTTACTAGATTCTTCTAATTCGATCAAGAGTAAGACACTAGTCATTCCCCTATTCAAGCCAAAGCCTCCCTACCCAGCAGAAGCGACTAACGGGATCACACAATCGATCAATGACGATGATCAACCAATCAGTTTTGCCGGACAACATCTAACCGATAAGGACATGGCTTTGGTAGCTAAACATGTCATCGAGAAGAGGACAGGTCGATGGCTTGACCTTGAAGACGGTTCTATTACTAGTGACGGGATAAAATGCATAGCCAAAGCTCTGGGAACGGACACTCGCATTACTCAACTTCATTTACATGAAAATCGCCTTGGCGACGAGGGTGCTCGTATTCTTTGTGACGCATTGAGTTCGAATCGAACAATCACCGTATTGGGTCTTTCATCGAACACGTTGTCTGATGCTGCTTGTTTTCACATTGGTAATTTTCTTAGAGTTAGTTGTACATTGATTAGCCTCATGTTGGGTCAAAATCGAATTGGCGATCGAGGTATACGTCTGTTGGTTGATGGACTAATGAAGAACACAAGTTTAAGCAGACTTTATTTGAACAATACACTCTTGAGTGATGCCAGCATTGACACACTCCTTCGACTCATCAAATCCACCAGTGCACCTCTGGTAAAAATCGATCTTATCGGGACTCATTTGTCGCATAGTGGTAGAGAGAGACTCAAAACGGAGACTGCCAAAATCAATAACCAAATTGAACTGATATTCAATACTAAATAAAGCCGTTACAGCAAGAAGAAAAATGTTGATTTATGAATTTATGTAACTTCTATGTGTTTTGTATGACTAGAGTACAAAGTAGGTATTTTTTTTTGAATAAAGTTTTGAACCCACAGAACAGGAAAGAACCATGATATTACGCAAGCGTAAAATGATGCCTAATACTGGATAGCTTTTTTACAGTAATATTTGAACTCTAAGAGAGCAGGCTTTTATAAAATGTCTCCGATTTCTTTGGCGTTTTAAGTTACGCACTGAAATTCCTTTTGATTAGTGGTACAGGTTGGATAATATTTCTTCAACAAAATATATCGTTATTTAGAAACAAGCTAAGCTAACATTTGAAAGGTCTATGTTTTCATTATATAAAGCAAAAAATGCCTTAGAAAAATGTTAATCTAAAAATACCTGCATTAAACTATATCTCTTTATATAGGTGCCGAAACATTTGTATGACAAAGCATTTGAGTGTCAAACTATTTGGGTACCCGGTGAAAACTGGCCAGCAAACCAGTATAAATACTGGTACTGGTGCATATCCACTTTTAAGCCACGTTTAATTTATGTAAGTCAACAGATTATATTAACTTTTTCCTTTTACAAGGATAAAATTGTAATCAAAAATAACAATACAACAGCAGGTGATTTAACATTACATAATACTTTCCGCCCTTTCGATTTTATTAGAAGATCATTTTCAAAGTTGTTCGCAAAACACAAATTCAAGAAGACTGCATGGCGTATTTCTCCGATTTGCTCTGGTATTGTATGGTGTGAGTGAAAATTTCGAAAACACTAAACTTGAATGAGATCCTTTTTTCGTTATTAGGTTCTGTAATGCTAATATTGGTGATTAAGGGAAAAAAAGTTTCCCGACTGTCAGTCTCTTTGTTCTCTTAAAATTGAGTTTTTTCTTTAACATAACTACTCTCCGTTCCAAAACGGAAGACCGGTCAGTACTGTTTGAATAACTCGAAGAGAATAAAAGACAAACGCTTGCGGTTTCCGCCATTCGATGGCCAAGACTTGAGACTACCTTTCCATAAGCAAAGACAAATTTTGGAAAAACTGTCGAAGTCGGTTTTCCAGAGGATCTTTGGAAAACTAGTTCGATTCTCTCAAATCTGACATACAAACCTATGAATTCTTTTTCACAGATATATAGTCAAAAATGGGTTATTTCACCTAGTATGGGTCTTCACTCGGTTCTTGCAGTTTATTCTGAAAGGTAACATTGGCACAAGATTCAGCATAGTCGATAACCTATGTTTTCATTCATTTCTGACAGTCCCAAATCTAACGGCAGAGGAGTGCTAATGCTTCAGGAAAAATGTCCAAAGCCCCGAGCCACGGATTTTCAAGATGTCGGGTAGGCTCAGTTTTGTAGTTTGTACTTCGGACTATATATCTGTGAAAAAGAATTCATAGGTTTGTATGTCAGATTTGAGAGAATCGAACTAGTTTTCAAAAGATCCTCTGGAAAACCGACTTCGACAGTTTTT